CAATTGTGCTAACTTAATTAAAAGCAAATCGATCAAAAGCTATAAGAACATGCAATTGAGACAGCTTCTGAATTTGGTCGTTTAAGCTCAAAGTGACCATGCTCACAATTCTGAAGTTTAAAGGACTCCCAAACCAAACAATTATTTAGCCATCATGCTTATCCAGATTCGAGTTTACTCAGCCCTATGTTCAGAACATGCAATTGACAAAAGAGATCCAATGAAATTATTCAACTTAACAAATATGAAGTTAAACATTAACCTAAAACCTAACATGATTATAAGACATAACATGCAATTCTGAACATTATTCAACTAGTGCTTGGCATTTTTGACAACTTCGAAAGGAAATCTATACTAAACAATGTTGATTTCAACAGAGAATAAGCAAAACATCTAAAACCCAAGCAATCTAATCAAATATTCTGTTGTAATAGCCTTTGAATTCCTTTTATACAAAACTCTTAACCCAGATTCATGCAAACCACTAATAACTAGAGCGCGCGACTCGTCTAACATTGCAAATGAACTTAAAACTGAAACATAAATGAGCAAACTACAATGAGAACCCAAAACTAACTATGAAATTTGAAGGTTTTCGGAAATGTAAAAACAGACATTTAATAAAACTGATGCTCTCTATATTTCAATCTTCAAGCAAACAAACTTGTGCTTCTCCATTTCACACGTCAAAGAGATGAATAATACCTAGAAGTAAAAGGAACAAAGAAGTAAGGATTCAGTAGAAGAAAAGCAGCAGAAACCAGCTTTAAACCCAACAATAGGACAATAGAAACCACAGCAAAATCCAAACCAGACTCTAAATACTCGGAATTCAATCCATTTTAAAACCATAATGCAAAAACTGTGAATTTTCAGTGATTTGAACCAGACTATTAGGACCAGAAGAACCAAAATCCGAGCAGAATTCTCAGTAGTTTTCCAGAAAAGGCAAGGAATTCAAGGTTATTTCAGAATTTCTTAAAGAAAGGCAGCCATTTAAGTTTTTTTGGATAATTTTCATCCCCTTTTTTCTCTAATGTCAAGTAATGGTGCCTTTATAGGCAAGTCATTAGGAATGCAGAAATGAAATATGTTTTGCACTTAAAACCTTCTAGAGTTTTCATTTTTTCTCAAATGCCCTTAACTTAAAACTCAGATTTTCAGATAAATTCCAATGACACCTTCCTGGCAGCTTCCTAATCAGTTAACAGATATATTCCCTAGCCTAAATCCCCAAATTAACCCTCAATACCCCTGTTTTTACTGCAGGAAACCAAATGAGTCAGTGCTGACCCAAGGTCCAAGTTCTAAAACTGGGCCTGTAAACCCGGCTTAATTCCCCCCTCTCTTGAACTTCTTATTTTGAGCCCAGTTCAATTCATAACCGGACTGTCCAAACAAACTAATGCAACATCTAAAACATGATACCCTTTTTCCTTTCTCTTTTTTTCCGAAAGCAACTTAAAATATCGACACATATTTAACAAAGCAATTAATTTAAACCAATTTTAATTCAATCCTAAAGGTGTACAGAACAATTAACCAATAAAAAAACAGAGGAAAAAAAAGCGGAAAATCAGAAGAGATGAAGATGAGAAGAGCAAAAATAAAAGAGAGAACTTAAATACCTAAAACAAAGGATGAAGTTGGCTTGAGAGGACCTCTGACTCTTTCGATTTTGAACCATAATTGGTATTAGTCGTGAGTTCTTGTTAAACCTGCGATAAACAACAATTACGGATCTAACCGAGTCATCGAAGCCTGAAAAGATTTGGGAGATTTTTGTTTCTCTCTTCGGCCCTTTTTAGATCTGAAATCAACTTCGTTTGGTGGTGATTCAAGGGAAATTATTGGTGGATTTGTAGAGAGGGGACGAAAAGGAGTTTGGGTTGTGATTTTGGTTGAAATTTGGCGGTGGTTTGGAGGTTGCACCGGCGAAAATGGCGGAGAGGGTATGGAGGTTTCTTTGAAGGAGATGAAGTGAAACAAAACAGGGTACTGGGTTTAATGAAGGGAATTCGGACATTCTTATGTAATTGGGATAAGTAATCTGAGCCGTTGGATGCGAGTAAATGGATGGTTGAGATGGACTTGGACTAAATGAACTCGAAGCTTCATCGTTTGGTCAGGCTAGGAATTGGACTAGGTATAACGTGGGTCTGGGCCGGTTTTTTGAACGGGTAGTGGGTAAAATAATTTGGGTTGGGGGAAATTGAATTAAAAACAGCCCAAACACACTTTCTTTTATTTCCTTTTCCCAATTTTAAACTTTCTTTTCCTTTTTTCCAAATTAAAATAAAACCTAAATTAAAGTCCAAGTCAAATTATCCCACCAAATTAGATTAACTACTCAAACTAATATTTACAAACAACTAATTACTTACCAAATTAAAAGAAAACTACAAAATTCGAAACTAAAAATAAAAAATGCTAAAATGAGTTATTTTTTGTGATTTTTTCATTTTTTATAAGACAACTAAATTGCTAATTAGCCTAAAGATGTAGAATTAAATCCTAAATGCAAATGCAACATATTTTGTATTTTTCATTATTAAACAAGATTAACATGTGCAGACAAACGCAAACAATTAACGAAAAATGCTACAAAAATCTACGAAATTGCAAATAATGGGAAAATTTATTTTGTTTTGAATTTGTTGGAGTAATTCACATAGGGCAAAAATCACGTGCTCACAGGGGGTAGTCTCGCAGCTGCAAAAGTAAAAACGATTTAATACTTCCCAAAGAAAAACGGTCGACCATCATTCCGACAAGAGATACAAAAACTTATGTGCGAAGTTCCACCTCTCAGGGAACCCTGCAGAGTCCGTCACAAGGTGCACGATCCGCATATAAAAATAGTTTTCGTAGAAACGATGATTGGCTCTATCATCCATCTTCACCACCAGACTTTTCGTTCCTCGATGGCGCATGTGGATCATCGTGCCTCGAATAAGTTGAGGGGCAAAAATATTGAGCATATGCCCTAGAGTGATCTCTCGACCAGCAAGCTCCGTGATCTTGAGCAGTATGAGGAACATTTTGTATAAGTACGGCGAAAGTTGAGCCGGGCATACCTCGTAGAAACGGCAGAAGTCTACCACCAAGGAAGGGAGAGGAAGTGTATACCCGACAATAAAAGGATATGCGTAGAACGCACAATATCCTGGGCGGTCAAAATGTATAATATCATCTCCTACCACCAGCAACATCTTAACATGGTGTGGAATCCCCCATTTGGTCTTAAGCTCCGTAATCGCCACTTCATCCATAATAGAGGAAACATGCTGCGGTTTCTCTCCGGCAGGGCTGTTAAAATCAGTCCATGGCTTCCCCGGACGGGGCAATATTTCGGCCGTTGTTAGAACCCTCTCATCCTCCACCACCTCCACTCCTCCGGGAGCAAGAGCATCATTTTTCGGCGCCGAAACTTTAGCAAGACTGTCAGCGCGGGAAGAAGTACTCGCCATTTATCTCGATTGAACAGAGCGAATAAACAAAGGGAAGTAAGAGGGAAGGCGATGATGTCAATTTCCGACTAACATGAGAGTGAATTGAAAATCTGAAGTACCGGAGAAGGTAAAGACCCGCAAAAATCCTTTGATAGATCGAAAAAGTATGCTAATATAATGGTGTTTTCCCCATATTTATATGAACATAAACGCCCCGAGCGGGAAACCCGAGAGTCGCCAATCAAAACTGATAGGGCATGAGAAACGGTTCAATCCATAGGGAACGTGTGTCATAATGATAGTGATTACAAACGACGTTTGAATCATCACAACGGTTCAACCCCGAATGGATGCGACGATCCAAAGGTATCATTGAAGCGTTACGTCATTGCCTCGACCTAAAAATCTCGCTCAAGGCGTAAACATTTAGATTTCTCCTAACTTTCGAATCGACAGAATTCGCCCATCTTGCCCGCTAAGAGATGACCTCGACGGACGGAGGGACTAACTGTTTAGGTCAAAATTTGACCATAGTGATCGACCAAGCTGGGATCTCGCCCAGGTGGCAAAATAGTAAAGAACACCACGACCAACCTCAGGGTCAAATCATCGGCATCGTATGTCAAGTCAATACTGTACTCGAGTAATGACGAAAAGGACAGTCGTAGGAAAATATGTTGGTCAAAGATCACTGAATAGAAGTTCTAGGAACTATATATAGATGGGTGTAAGCACTAACAAAGGGGGAGATCTATCACAGAGGAACAAGGGCTCTGCTTTTCCTCTTTGCTCTCTCACATGCGATTCTTTCTTACTTCAAATATGTAAGCCCAATTCTCGTGTTTGATATAAGATTACAATATTAATAAATCTGATACATTCTTACAATTTGTTATTTCCCGCTATGTATATTTGGATCCGAAATTAGTTATGCTTGACTAAGATTCACCTCCTTTATTATTGATAATTGGAGTTGGCAAAAGAGCCTTAAACTTTTTTGCTCAAACATATTTCTCCAAGTTTTTTACTTTGAACTCAAGACGGTTCATTTACAGCTTATTTGGATGATCGTTACCTATTGTATTATATCGTATTATTACTTTAAATGCAATATTTGTTTTGATTTTTATTAGTTAAATTTTATTGTATTGTATCGTTAAAACAAAAAATGCCACTTTATGTAACGACGGATTTGGCTTGGTGATGTCTACCTTGCTCCCCCCTATCTTGCCCTTTGTGTATTATTAAATAATCATTATTTATGTTTTACCCTACTTTTTTATATAATAATTTTACTCCGAATCCTATTTTCTTAGTAATGCTGCAAGTTTATTCTTCATGAAACAAATTGTTGCAAGTTTAGTAATGTTCCGCATCCTATTATTTGTACGTGACATCATGAAATGACAATAAATGATACAATTTATCCAAATATTATAGTCATCAAATAATATAATATAATACAATACATTATAAAATGACATATAAAAACCATCCAAACATACTGTTAAGACATGTAAACTTTCAAATAGCTAATCAACTGAGCTTCTGAAATTTCCAAAAACTTTTTACTGGTACCAATACTTTCCCTCTCCAAATAGTAAGTAACTAAAAGAAAAGAAAAAGTTACAAAAACGAACGAAAGAAAAACCATCGGAAAATTTCGTAACCCTTTGAAAAACCCAGTGAAAGTAATTGTTTCCCAACGTTATTCATCATCATTACAGAGTTAAGTCAGTTGGTAGCAATGGAGAAAGGGAAAAGCAACACCAAGAAGAACAAGTCATCATCTTCAACTGCCATGACTCTCGACCAATTCGTTTCCACTATGGCCCCTTTACTAGATTTGGAAAAGGTACTCACCTACACCCCTTTTTTCTCCAATTCCCCACGTTTTGGCCATTTTGGGATTACAGATTGTCTTTTTTAATTAGAAATGTTTATGAAAGAGGTGATAATGTGTATGTAGGAATTACGATACTAAATGGCAGCCCGGTGCATTAAACTCCCGCTATATACACGGGTGCAGGGAAGGGCCGGACCACAAGGGTCTATTGTACCCAGCCTTAACTTGCATCTCTGGAAGAGGCTGTTCTCACGGTTTGAACCCGTGACCTCCTGGTCACATGGCAATAACTTTAAGCAATTTTACCCGTTACGCCAAGCCTCCTTCAAGTAGGAATTACGATAATCTTTATCATATTATTCTAATACTCCCTCTGTTCCCAATTAACTATGCTTAAGACCTTTTTGGGTGTCAAAAGGTCTGAATTTTGACTGTCAAATGTATTATGTTATCCTACTTCAGTAAATGTCAACACCTAAATTAGAGAATTAATGTGGGATTTCATCTTAAATTTGGACACCTAAGGTGGCAAATTTTGCCTATGTGAGCTTGGGAAGCATAGCCCGTCCCTAGTCAGTATGAAAGAGAAGGGCTGTGGTAGGTTGATGGCCATCTTAAAAACAGTTAGATTAATCTTCTTAAAACTAAGTTGGCGGGCCTGATTGAGAGGAATGCGTACAAAGTATTCATATAGCCGACCCCAGCTCATTTGGAATTGGGATGTGGTTGTTTAGTTGGTTGGACGCCTAAAGTTGGATAGAGGAAGTAGTTGTCAAAGCTAGAAATGTTCTTTATTTTTTCCACAAAAATGCTGATACTGTGCTGTGTTACCTGAATGATCTTTCAAGGAAGCTGAAATATCACTTTCCATGAGCTCAGCTGAGACGAGGAGTTTGGATTCTGCTCAGAAGAAGGGCTCCACTATTCTTAATTTGAAGTGTGCTGATATCCAGGTAGTATATTTCTCTTTCCTGCTCCTTGCTTATGCTATTTTGGATTCATTAAGTTAGCTAGATTTTGCACGGTCTTTTCACTAGTTTTGCGTTTTATGGACAGACAGGGCTAATGGGCAAGACACTGATGGAGCTTCAATCAACCAAAGGGGATATTCTTCCGCCTCACAAGGTGAATTTAATCTGCTTAAAAGGAATGCTCTATGATGCTTTCAAGCTTTAGGGGTTTTATTGCACTATAAAAGATATTTTCTTGGTCAGAGATAAAAAATAAAAACGGGCAGCCCGGTGCACAAAGTATCCCGCATTCACGCAAGGGCCACACCCCAAGGAGGTATGATGTAGGCAACCTACCCTGATACAAGCATCTGATTCCTTGGTTAGAGATCAATGCTGTCAAAAGGCGAAAAGCGTAAAAATGTGGTAACTGTCTGCTGGGCATCAAGTGCCAAGCAAAATTAAAGCACTCGTTTCAGTGAAGAAAAAAGTAGATGAAAAAAATTTAAGAATATTTATTTCTAACAAAGATTATTATTATTATTATTATTATTATTATTATTATTATTATTATTATTATTTTTCTGAAAAGGTAAAGGTTATTATAATCGTAAAGAATGATTATATGACCAACAAATGAAATATATGAAGTAAAAACCTTGCCGTCAATTAAATTCAAAACCATTTTTAAAGTTGCAAATGAATAAAATATATGAAGTTAAAACCATTTTAAATATTTAACTCAAATGCATAGATGTATTTTTAAGTTTCTAATTCAATTACTAGTTTTTTCAAACTAACTTTTCGTTTTCTGTTCATAATCACTAACGTATTCTTTTATAATGTTTTATTAACAATAAATATATCGCTTTCCAGTTATATTATCACTTAGTGTTGCCATCATTAACACAGTCTGTGGCTGTTGAGTTGCATGTCTTGAAATCCTGGTGCCTGCACTAAAATGCCGCCTAAAAGAACCAAAGTGTACAACCTGCACTAAACTTAGCTTCAGGGTTTAAGCTTGCCTCTACCAGTCTAACAGAGATTGATGAGACCAAATGTTCAGTACCCTTCGTAACTGTGACTAATTGATCCTTGTTGTAACTAGGCCACTTACTGTGTTTGAGTTTTGATGATATCATATTTTACTCTTTTGAACTAAAGCTTTAAGCTCTCTTCCCCTTTCCCCTTCAGTTTCTTTTAATTTGCAGTCGCTATTTTTTCTGAAGATACTTCCTTCTCTTGCAGTTTGGCACTCATGACGTTGTTGTTCTGAAACCAAACAAAGCTGATTTAGGCTCCCCTGCACTTGGACAGGGGGTTGTCTACAGGCTAAAGGTAATATAGCTGTAAAGCATTTACTTGATATACAAAGTGGAGAGAAAACCAACAATTGAAAAAGAAACGATGTGAAGTGAATATTATGTTGATTGAAATGGTCATAGAAAATGTTATGTTGATTGAGACCAAAATATATTTTTTTATATAAATTTAAATTTTCTATTATTTAATATTTGTATGGAATGTAGGTTCTTAGTAATGTTTTTAGGTTGGATCCTTAAAAGTTTGTTTTCTCATGGAGCAGGACTCATCTATTACTGTTGCTTTTGATGATGTCCCGGAAGAGGGTCTGAATAATCCTTTACGCCTTGAGAAGTTGGCAAATGAGGTACATGATTCTTGATCTGAAAAAGGTGATGTTTTTTGCCTAGGTATCCAGTACATTTAATAGAGATGAATGAGTATCAACACGGTCTTGATGTAACAAATAAAAGCATCTAAGCCCTGTTTCCCATGTAGTTGATTGATACATAGAATACAATTTGATCTGACTTGACGTTTTAAGGATCACCTATTTTTTGAGCAATAATGTTTGACTTGAATATTTTTAAGGTAGTTCCTTCCCTAAGTCACAAGGCGGATTTTTACTATACCTTTCCGAAGGTATCAAAATTAGTAGTTCTATGCATGCTATGTTGTAATTTTGATTGTTTGAAGTTCAGGAAAATCCGCGCTCTAGAAATTCTCTTAGTTGTACTAGTGGAGAAAAAATATGTATGAAATTCTGAAGTTTGAAGAGTCTTTCTATTGGAGTTGCTTTCNTCATCTTAAAAGTTTGACGATAGGGCTATAAGGATGAAAAAGTACATCTTATATAAAAAAGAAAGGAAATGAAAAAGTTGTGAATCACTCCAATTGGCTCATCTTTATTTTTCAGGTTTCATCTTATATCTACAAAACTTTGGTAAATCACTTCCAGTATTTCCCTTTTTATGTCTCTGATTTCAAAACATACTGTTACAACAAAATGCTAGCTTTGTTAAGACAGAATACAACGGAAAGAAAGGATCCATAGGAAATGTCAACTAACTAGCTTTAATACTTAGTTGTTTTTTTATCAACCTCAACTAGTTTTAGATTGAGGGTAGTTGATTGGTTGATTGACTTTAAACAAAGCAGCTACTTAGGGTACATTGCCTTGCATTTTTCCTTGGTGTTCTTGTATTTAATGTGGAGTAATGGGGCATTAAGCAGTATCGATGATTGCTGATCTGTATGCTGGTTGCTAGAAACTGATACCTTATCCTTAATCTTTGAAGAAAGATGCCATCTCAAAGGCGCTTTCATCCAAGAACGTAATTTTGCTGCATGGGCCTCCTGGAACTGGGAAGACAACTACTGTTGTTGAGATTATTTTGCAGGAAGCGAAACGTGGTTCAAAGATCCTTGCTTGTGCTGCTTCAAATATTGCTGTTGATAACATTGTTGAGAGACTTGTTCCACACAGGTAAAGATATGTCTTGGCCTCTTGGGTGATTGACTTCTAGTTGATACCTTTCTCCTCAGGGTGAAACTTTGATGTCTGTATTGAAATGAGCTTTTTCAGTGTAATTTTTTCTATCTTTTTTTCGATAACCGCCTAAAGTTCCAATAAGACAGGTGAAAATAATTTCCATTATCTCAAATACTACAACTTAAAATGGTCAGAAATGTGCTTTACCTTTCAGAACTTTGGTTTAATTTAAATGGTGCCACTAAAATGTCCCTCTGACCAGAACATTTGGTCTGCTCTTGGATGAGTTTGTAAGTTAAGTGTTGCTCTGACTTGCAGTCTGTTTTCTTGCCCACCTGTATTATTTGCTTCTACAACAACAACAAACCTAGTGTAATCCCACATAGTAGGGTCTGGGGAGGGTAGAGTGTAGGCAGACTTTACCCCTACCTGGATTATTTGCTTCTATTTAAGATGATGTGTAAACTGTAAGTTTGATGTTGCAATTCGTACTAGTAGACACATGAATATACCATCTTTTCTGCAGGACTTTTATGCCCTAGCTCTGAGCTACACAAAATGATTATTTTTAGTTATCAGATTTTGAGATGTTATTCGAATTCTTAATGGGTTTATTCTGTCAATGTTTTGTCAGAGTGAAGTTGGTGAGATTGGGACATCCGGCACGTATGCTCCCACAAGTACTGGATAGCGCTCTTGATGCCCAGGTGATATTCCTTTTCATTTGTCAAGAATCTCGAATCATGGAATGCTATTGGGTCACGCTGTTTTCTTGTATGGTGTCTGTTTCTTTTAGTACATAGGAGCATAAATACACCTTCTTGCTTTCTAAGTGCACTCTAGTTAAAAAATAGACTAGAGCACACTAGTTTCTTATAACCTTTGTTTGTTGGGAAGGATTCCCGGGGATAGGGCGGTCCGGCATTCATACTCGGGTTTTCCCCGCCTTTCTTACTCGAATTTGTGATCTGGGGAGAACTATGTTGATTAGCAATAAGTTGCCTTTTTTTCCCATGCACATTCTGTTTAAGTTCTTTTTTTATGACTGGGGGCTACATTTTGTAATCTCTTCTTTCTAAATAGGTCCTACGTGGTGATAATAGTGCTCTTGCAAATGACATCCGCAAGGAGATGAAGGTATGATATGCTCAATTGTTGTCAATTATTCTTTAGCTTGTCCAAGATTCAGAGGAAGTTTACTCTCAGTATAAGGATTTCTTTTGGAAGTTTGAATTATCAAGATAGGTCTAAGATATCCTTTTTCCTATTCTGCAGTTCATTAAGGTCTGAATATTTTTGTGTGTACTGTTGCCTTGTCCCATTTGTTTCATGATGGATTCTGCAGACATTGAATGGAAAGTTATTAAAAGCTAAAGATAGAAATGCAAAGAGAGATATCAGGAGGGAGCTCAAGGCTCTTTCAAAAGAAGAGCGTAAAAGGCAGCAGCTAGCAGTAACAGATGTTCTTAAGAATGCAGATGTAGTCCTGACAACATTGACTGGGGCATTGTCCAAGAAGTTGGACGGCATGTCATATGATTTGGTTATTATTGATGAAGCTGCTCAGGCATTGGAAATAGCATGCTGGATTGCTTTATTGAAGGTGAACATGCTATCACTGATGCCTAAATATCCGTTCTATGGATCAATTTTTTGCTAGATTTTTTTTTTATGTTAAGAAACTGTCAATCAGTTCTTTAGGCAACTCCTGCTAGACTATTGATTAATATAACATCAACTTTCTCGATATATGAATGGATGTAGGAGAGTGAGAATTGGGTTGTAAGTTCTCTTAGACAATATAAGTAGTCAATCCATGTAATTAGCTGAGTTAGCAGACTGGCATCTGAGTTTGAATTTGCTGGTTTGCCCAAAGGTAAAAAATGAAAACGAAAGATCTCCTGCTAAGTTTTTGAACTTGCCTGCCCATTTTCTGGAATATGACATATGAGAGCTATACATTCCAAGACTCAGCCTGCTTAACTGGAAGGACCTTCTGTGTTGCCAGAGATGTACATAAAAAATTCTCATAATAACCAAGAGGTTTTTTGCTGGTGGGGCCACATCTTGCCTCTTGCCATGGATAAGTAATTGGATCATTTGTATTGCGCTCAAGACTGATTACTTTAAGATATTAATTTATTGGACATACCTTATTATGTGAGATAAGTCATTAACATCCTTGTGGAATGAAGTATCATCAAGTCAAAGATGATACTTACTTCAGCCTTGTATATAGAGTGCCAGCACTTTTGCATTGGTTTGCTTCCTTCTCACGGAGTAATTAGCTATATGTTGTGAAGTTTAGATTTTTTCTTGTAGAAACAGTCAAACAACTTTACTGGTTGGTAGTCTCTTTTAAACTTTTTATGTTATGGTCTTCCTGTTCCACTCACTTTTCTCTAGTTTTGGAGGAGGTTTAGGTGTGTGGATTCTTTAACAAATCATGAGAAAATGATAAAGAAGCTAATGACTAATCAGAAGTAGCTTAACTGGCTAGTCTAAAGCCCTTATGGGTTAACTTCTCCTGATAATATTACAACAACAACAAACTCAGTATAATCCCACAAGTGGGGTCTTGGGAGAGTAGTGTGTACACAGATTTTACCCTTACCTTGAAGGTAAAGAGGTTGTTTTCGAAAGACCCCCAGTTCAAGAAAAGATGAAAAGAAAGCAGTAACAACAGCAAGATCTCTTGATAATGTGGGTTTCTCGCATATGTTGGTGGCTTTGTGAGTTGCACTTTGGGTTAATGTGGTTCGAGTTTCTAATCAATGTAGCAGTTATTTGTGCTCTTACTCTTACTGTTCAATATTTTTGAAAAATCTATGTATTTAAAAGCAAAAAGTGACAAGACTCATGGAGCTTGAAGCGAGAGTGAAAAGTGAAGTGCACTATTCTTTGAAATGAAACGAAAAATTTACATAAAATAAAAAAATACCAACCTTATATGAATTTAGTACTACAATACTAAAATTGTAATTAAAATACAGTCAGACCTCTCTATAACAGCATCCCTATATAACAACACTACACTATAAAAACCAAGTTTTTTCGGAACCAATTTTCATGTTATGTTATAATATATGTCCTATATAACAGCAATTCGATATAACATCCAAAAATATCAGGAACAAACGAGGCTGTTATAGAGAGGTTTGACTATAAATTTCAATATAAGATATATAATAATCCAATATTAATCCAACTCCTCAAAGCTAAGATTGAAAGAACTTTCCGTTTGATAACCTTGCGCGTCATTGTTTGAAGTGCACATTTTCGAAGTGCGTGACTTCATCCATGAAGCAATAACCGCTCGCTTCGCATCGCTTTAGGCAATAAACTGATGGCTTTTAATAACACTGGAAAAGAAATAGAAAGTTAAAAACAGATGAAAAAGGGATCATACTTAATAATCAACTCTGGAGCAAACTAGTAAGCTAATGATGTGGTTCCTCGCTTACAGGGATCAAGGTGTATATTGGCTGGAGATCATCTCCAGCTTCCTCCAACCATTCAAAGTGTAGAAGCTGAGAAGAAAGGACTGGGAAAGACGCTTTTTGAACGTTTAGCAGATTTATATGGAGATGAAATCACGTCTATGCTCACTGTTCAGTACCGCATGCATGAACTGATTATGAACTGGTCATCCGGAGAGCTGTATGATAATAAGGTGCTAGGTCATTTTTAACTGTTGGTTGAAAATAAAAATGTTTTCCATCATTATTAATTTTCTACTACAGTCTAATATAACAATATCAATGAAACGTATTGGCATCTAATATTATCCAAACTTTTCTGCTGCATTTATGATTGTAGATTGAAGCCCATTCAAGTGTTGCTAGCCATATGTTATATCACCTTGAGGATGTGAAGAAAACACCTTCCACTGAATCAACCCTTCTGCTCATAGACATAGCTGGGTACTGGCTCTTCTCTCACATTTTTTGGGGTCATTCTTCTTTCCCATTTCAAATAGGAAAGTTCTAAAGTTGAAAGTCGAGGTGGTTTGGTACCAGAACCAAAATCTGTGTACATGTAGAAATTCTACCTGTAACTTCTATGCTCAGGTCTTAACACTATATATTTCAGGTGTGACATGGAAGACAAAAAGGATGAGGAAGATAGCACATTGAATGAAGGTGAAGCTGAGGTTGCCATTGCCCATGCAAAGAGACTAGTCGAAAGCGGAGTCCGAGCTTCTGATATTGGATTAATCACTCCTTATGCAGCACAGGCAAGTGTGATTAATAGTAAAAAGATCAAGCTGATTTCAGGTTTGAGATATACTAAAAATGCTTGTGCAGGTTGTTTTCTTGAAAAAGCTCAAAAGCAATGAAGACAAATTAAAAGAAATGGAGATCTCAACTGTTGATGGTTTCCAGGGTCGAGAAAAAGAAGCCATTATCATTTCTATGGTCCGATCAAACTCAAAGAAAGAGGTACTCTTCACAATTGTAGGAACCCTCATGTATAGCTAAACTGCTCATTTTGGGTAACAACATGGCGAATCTAATATGAAAACATTTCATGATTAGGTGGGATTTCTTAGTGACAGAAGGAGAATGAATGTTGCTGTTACACGAGCAAGGAGACAGTGCTGTCTTGTATGTGATACTGAGACAGTCAGTGGTGATAAATTCTTGAAGAGGTTGATTGAGTACTTTGAGGAGCATGGTGAATATTTGAGTGCTTCGGAGTATGGAAATTAATAGTGTTCTGCAGTTGGAAGCATCATTATTAGTTGCCTCTTTTCAGTGCTGCAAACAGTCAAGAGAGAGCTCCAAAAACTGTTGCTGCTTATAATTTGTAGCTGTAGGTTATAATCCGGGAGCAGGCAAACGGACATGAAATATCTATATCACTTTTCTTGTACGCTCTGCTGGCTATGTAGGTTGGATGCAGTATCATGGAAATCTCATTTTTTATGTGAGGCAAATTTTGACTTGACAATGTACTATGTGGTTGTACATTCACTGATATAACTTTATTGTGGGAGAAAAGTGATGAGCACTGATGTACTTTATGTGTTTATAATCTTTGGAAATATCAAGGGGCATGTCAATGCATTTCGTGAAGAAGCTAACTTGAAAATCTGAAGCTCTTTTATTTAGGTTCTCTGCTTTGCATATTGGCACATTGTGAGAATGCTAAAATACAGCTTGTCATCAGATGTCTCAGAACACTAGGGAATAGTGTCAAGTATTATTTAGCTCGTTAAAGTCAGGAAGTACGAAAGATTTCAAGATCACTTTAAGGTATCTTGTTGGATCGTCTTAAGTAATTTCTGTTTTACTATAGTTTTCTTCGAAGATTTTATTAATCACTCACTAATGTTACACTTTGCTGTTGCAGATAACAACATTGGAGATTGTTCATGATGTCTGAGGTAAAAGTTTTCCAACTTCCTTCTTTCAAATACACGTGAAACAGACTTGAGAGTCTTTCTTCGTCTGAATACTCTGATAACTCTAGATGTCATTTCATCAGATAATTGCCTCGCGTCCATGAGGGTTAAGTTTCTATTGCTTCTCTACTCTGCTGTAGCAATTTTCTGTATAGCTAATTTGGCTCTGGAAAGTAGAGTTTAAGCATGTGGTCCACGCCCCTGCTATGTCTGTATACTATCCTATTTTTGACCTTAGACACAAATCATGACACCTCATTATATAGTCTTGGGCCCCTGGAGAAAATGATGTAGTGTGAGTTGATAGTTTTTTGCGCCAAATTGTGTCTACCTGGTTAGGACTTATCGATCTTATACGCAAGGAGCAGCTTGTACATTTATCTAACAATGATGTGGGAACCTACTAATTTACCTAATGTTTTATAAGCTCTATATTGATGGGAGGAGCTCACCTCATCATTTGCATCATTCAGTTTCCCTAGCTGTTGCAGGAATTCATTCAGATAAATCTGAGGCTTCTCGTCACTACCTATAACATTGTCTTAAGATGAAAATTCAACTTCCTATTCCTTCCCTTCTGGAATTTTCAAGGGTGGTTGTTCACTTGTATTGTGCATCGCATTCTTAAGATCACTGGATGATGAGCTTGAACATGATGCTTGACAGAATGCTTCTAGGGCCCACGTTCATTGTTGAACACCTAGATACTCGCACTACGCGTTTTCTGGTGCCCGCCTCTTCCTCTTGCTGGTCCTTTCTTCCCTGGTTTTAAAGGTATTCTTCTGTAATTTTCCATAGTAGAGCTGGCTGAAAGAAAAGATGTTAGCACAATATAGACTGGTTGGACGATGTGGAGTGATAAATTGGTAAGGCACGGGATATCTATAGTGTCAATCGTAGTTTGGTTTAAGTTTGATCACGTTTGTAGAAAGTCATAAGAGCCAATGTGATTTTCGGGCCTTTAGTATACACTAGATAATTCAATTGTCAACACTATTCTTAGTTGTGAAATCTTTCATTTGTTTATTTCCATTTTCAATCCTGTAACAATAGTTGCTGCTTTCATTGTTTAAATTTTTTCTTTCTAAATTTCAGGTGTGATACAGTTGGCACATGTATGAGTTTTGTGGTTAGACTTCCATCAATTCTATTGAGCTGTATGTTTACCTCGAAAAATGGGGTAATAATTAAATGTGATTTGTGGTTTTAAAGACATGTGATTTATTCTAATACTAGTGAATATACAAGTAATGTTAGGTTTAAGTAAGAAGAATTGATGAACCAAACTAGTGTTGCTAGAGCAATAAGGACCTCGAGCTCGATTTTCTTGGGGGCCTCGAGGTGAGCTACGAGCAATGAAATATGAACAATAATGTACAAGCAATAAAGTTGAAGAACACTTGCTGAGCACGTTAAACAAGAAAAACAGAAAAAAATATTCTATTGCAGTGAATAATGTGTCTTACAAATGATTGTGGTCCCCTTTATATAGGAGGAGAGAACCCCAATATAGTACATTCCTAATTGAGGTAAAGAATTATATTGGTACATGTGTATAACAACCTAGTACGGACATGTACCATTTTGTACAAATCATATCCTTTAATTTATGCCCTGATCCACGTGTCCTTGAGAAATTCCCGCTCTTTTTTGAGTGTCCTCGAGATTGTACTACCCTCGATGTAGGTCGCGCGGGGCCTTCGATCTGCTTCCTTGAGGTGTGTATCCTTCAGTTGGGTCCGACCCCTACTTCGAGTCGCCCGGACTCGGACTCATAGCCCAATTTAAGACTTCAAAATTGAGCTCATTGGTTTTGATCGTACACAGATAGTCCCCGTATTTCTTAGAATAAGATGATAAGAAGCGATTTGAACCTCGATTTTCCCGAGCCTCTCACGATGACGTCATGCTCGTGACGTAGGCGCTTGAAGTGATCGAAACGTCCCGCTGGTCCATTTCCCCAAAAGCATTGAATGCATGCCAGCATTGGTCGGCCACTAGTGCTGCCGAACCGTCATTGGCTTTCTATAAATAGGGGGTTACTTGGCTGAACAAAAACTACACTCATTCCTTCTTCATCAACCTTTTAGCCCTTTCCCTTCTCTATCTCTTCCTTTAATCACCTATTCTTATGGTTCAAATATGTGACCACACGGTCACATGGCAGCAACTTTATTAGTTACGCTAAGGCTTTCTTTTTTAAAGCTTTATCCCACTAAGTGGGATTATACTGAGTTGTTATTGTTGTTGTTATTGGCTCGAAACAACGAGAGAAGGACACCGAATTCTTCCCGTATCAGAAGATATGCGAACTTTACACTGCTGCTCATCTCTCTTAACTTCAACCTGGTGTGGCGTTTCATTCCTTTTGCTTTCCATGGAAAGAGGTGGCACTATCATCTACTAACTTTTGCATCCTCTACCGGAACAGAGTTCCGAGGATGAACACCCTTGGATTGTTGCTTGTGCATCTTGCAACCCCTTCTGTCTTTTTGTTCTTTCTTAATGTATTATGGCCCAAAACTTCAACGGAATGCTCAATCTCGGCTGCTGGAGATATAATCACATTTATCGCGGGTCTTCTGCCAAACGTTTTCAAAGATCGGAAATGGTGCCCCCGAGAAGATGATTTTCGGAGATGACGCTCTCGAGGTCGTGGCCTTAAAAGCGAATTAGGATCTTAGACTTTTGTTTTTTGCTTCTTTGTTCCTGTGTAAATATCCTTCGTGGATGCTATGGTTATACTTTGTAATTATCTTTTGGAAGTATAAAAGGATCTTTTTGTATCCTTTTCGGCCCATGCTAAATTTTATTCTGTCTTTATTCCTAAAAGACTCGATTTTATGATTTCAATGACTATCCCAAATATCGACCTTAGGACATAATAAACCCTTAGGTTTAATCGATGAATACAATACACTTCGAGGTTTTTGTTGATCCTCGAGCTGAGCTTGAAGGTGAACTCGGAACGTCGGGATTCTCGAGCCCGAGTTAGTGAGAGCAAGGTCTCGAGATGAAGTAAATCCTTAGATTTCCTTTCAGTCCCCGGGTGGGAAACTTCTCCACCTCGGGTAGCCCTTAGGCTTTTATAGTCGAGCGGGTATTTGCTCGAACTTGTAGTAAGGATAGCCCTTAGGCCTTTTCACAGTCTTCGAGCGAGTGATTCCTCGAACTCGGATAGCCCTTGGGCTTAGTGACCTAGTGGATACTTTGCTCGAACTCGACTTATAGGCGACCCTTTATGATTTTTGACGAATTAATCCTTGATGCCTTGATCCTGATGCAAATATCGCAACGTCAGCGGTTGAAGCGACTGAAAACTTGTTTTTTGTGCGATTCCCAAAATCATTAATTGGAGGCGGCTGACGGTCGGCCTTTTGGCTTCCTCAGCACGCTTAAGTGACCTTTATAAATAGATAGATTCCACAACCTTACAAACTTTATTTCTATATTGTTTTCAAAGTCTCATTACCATTTTTTCAATCTCCTTGAGCTCTCCCTTATCTTCACTATCAACACTCTTCACTTTCTTGGATCTTCCGTATTGCAATGGGTAAAACCTCTAAACCGGTTTCCTAAAAGGAAAAAGCTTCATCATCTTCTCGATCGACCAAGGGTAAACCGGTAGTGCCTCATCGTATCGAGGAGTGTATTCCCCCGCCATGTGAAATAACATACGATTTTAAAATCGAAAAATCTATCTCGACACTAGGCCGACGTGAGCCTATGTCTCGATATGTTTGTCTGGTGACCAAGGCCGAGCTCAAGCGAGTAAAGGAGGATTGTAAATAGGATGATAAAGAAATAGTGATTCCTTCCTCCGAGGAGGACATCACCACATATAAAGCGGGGTACCTGAGCGTATACACCTACCCATTTATGTTGGGCCCATCAATTCCGGCTTAGGGTCCCATAGCTCCAGTTATTCTTGATTTTTGCCAACGATACCGAGTGACGCTTGGCCAGATCTACCCCTCCTTCTGGAGAATCGTTTACTTAATTAGGTTCTTTTCGAGCCAAATCGAGGGGATGTACTTTACCCTCGATCATCTGATCAGACTGTACAGTCCCTGACTTTATCATGGGGGCTTGATAAAATTGCAATGCCGATCCTTAAAATCTCTCTTTGCTAGTATCGATGAGGACAAAGACCGTAGGTGGATGAGTCGGTTTGTCCGAGTCAGGACCTCCGATCTGATTCCTACTGATTGAATGCCGTTCCCCGAGGAGTGGAACATAAAACGTGAGTACTTAGCAAGTTTATACCCTACTTTATTTTCTTTTCCCTGGCTTTATATTTTTCATTGGTCCAACCCCTTTACGATGGTGCAGCTGCTACTTGGTTTCCTGGTGGGGTCCCGGACCTCGAGGGTTGGGTCTGAAAGTTGGCCTCCGCTTTGTCTTACTCGGAGCGTTGCTGGCGAGATCTGGCCAAGGGTCGATGGGAGGCCAAAAACCATGGTGAGTTCTCTTGTTTGTTTTCTTGTGCTTCTATTGTGGGATACTTACCTCGGTTTCATGTAGGTCTTGGAGACGCCGTCGAATTGTGGCCGGCCCCGTCTGATGAAGTGGAGGTTTAAATGCCTTCTAAAGAAAGAAAAAGAAGAAGAGAGCCATCTGAAAATCCCCCGAAGCCAAAGAAGAGCGTGGCTCGAAGATCTAAGGCCGATACAAT